CTCGTTCTTCCCTGTTCTGCATGTACCCTATCAACTACTAGTATGTATATATATATATACCTGGAGAAGAAGCAAAATACACAACAAAAGAAATCGACGATGGATTGGTTGATCGGATCCTACCGCGGAAGAAACCCTAACCCTTGGTGTTCTTCCCCTTTCACTGGCTTGTGGGACCCACGTGACGCTGGCGCTGACAATGATGACATCACCTCTGCTCTCGCTCACGCCCACGTTGACTGGCGTGAGACCCCCACAGCTCATATCTTTCGCGCTGATCTTCCTGGTCCACACACTTCAACTTCGCTTTATTTAATGTTTAGCATTTTTCTCTTTCTTAATTCTTTTCGCAGAAAATCACTTAACATCACGTGATAAGTACTTTAATCCAAAATATAAAAAAAAAAACCGTATATACTTCAAGAGATGATCATAAGAACTTAGATCCAAATCATTATATAATATAAATATATATTATCATACAAATACTACAAATATCATTATTCTAACAATTCTGACTAACAAAGGAAGATATTTAAAAATGAAGGAAAAGGAAAAGGAAACGGCGGTTATAGCATGTGTGATAGGAGTGTGTGCGTTGGTATCTCGCGGCTTCAGATTCGCGAGGTTTCTGTTATGCAAACTAAACGAGTTGTGGGGGAACAATGGCAGGGGTGCGGAAAGAGGATCTGAAGGTGCAAGTGGAGGAGGATAAGATTCTGCAGATAAGCGGGGAGAGGGTGAAGGAGAAGGAGGACCGAAACGACAAGTGGCACCGCGTTGAGCGCCAGTGCGGCACCTTCCTGCGCCGCTTCCGGCTGCCGGAGGACGCCAACGCCGACCAGATCGGCTGCACGTTGGAGAATGGGGTGCTCACTATCACCGTGCCCAAGTTGGAGACCGTGCCCGAGAACAAGAACGTGAGGCAGATCGACGTGGCTTGATCATGCATGCATGCATGCATGCATATGTGGACTTGTAATGTGTCAATCAGTTTTATGTTTTTTGTGTGTATGTTACTGTATACGTGTCTGCGTCGTTAATTTCATGGAGGAAACAACGACGCTTGTGTAATAATATATATACAAGTAAATAATAATAATAATGGGTTGGATCTTCTGTACTACTATTATAATGATATAATATAATATATGTAAGTTTGTTATCTCATTCTTGCATTTAACATATGATACATAGGTAGAAATGGTAACTGAAGTGAAAATAAAGTATAAAAATTCCTAGTTTAGACTAGGAAGTGAAAATAAAATATAAAATTAGTAGTGTTCTTACCGGAAATCTACTGTAGGGCTGATCTGCCAGGTAAGATTGGTGAGCCTCCTTTACTGGTACGCTGGTGCTCCAAGATGGGGGTGGTACCTGCAAAAGAGACTCCGATGCTAAAATTAGTGTTTGTGTGAGTATTAGTCTCGTATATGTAATGCACATACCTTGGTGTGATTTAGGATTGCTTTGGGCCTTGGGCCTGAGATGAGATGTAATATGATTAGATAACGGATCTCGTCTAGGGCGAGATCCTCGGGAATCAGTTATGATTCACTTAAATGCCGAGCTGATGTCACGCGGTGCGCGTCCGAGGTCGGCTTGCGTTGTGGTGCCGAGCTCGGAGCTCGGTTACGCAGTACGGATAGTACACTAGCCCCCCGAGCTCCGAAGACTGTAGGTCGAGGAGTTAAGGTCGAGCTCGCTAGGGGGAGGTGACCTTTCGCGTATGTTTGCTCGTGGTGGTGTCATGTGTCGCGACTGTTCATTTCCCGGAAACGTGCAAGTGGCGCGTTAAGGGAAATGACGGTTATGTAATGATGGTCCTGCAATTAATTGTGGTGTCAGGCGTGCCCTTAGGTTGACACGTGGCATGGCCGTTTTGAATTTTTGGAGAAAACTTTCTTTTCTCTCACTCGCGCCTCTTCACTTCTCACTTTGCTCACTTTTCACTCTTTCAGCTTCTTGCGTATGTTGTTTCTCTTGCTTTTCTGCTCATCTTCTGTCTCCGTTTTCTCCGTTTCTGCCGTCGTTTCCGGTAACCCAGTCATTGTTAGGGTTGTTTTCTGAGGGAGAGTAACAGGTACTTCCTTTCTACAGTCATCTTTTTCCTTCTTCCCCAATCTTTTTCAAGTCTTTCTTGTTATTTCCATGGCTGGGGGGAGTAGTGTCGGTTCTTCTGCGCCTTCTCGGGGCAAGGCGCGTGGTAAGGCGGTGGCTACCGGGAGAGCCGCCACCGAGAAGAGGGATCCGCCTCCGCCCCGGGGTGTCCCGGGCATTCCTGGCTATGACTGGGTCAAGTGTGAGATGGCGGGGGTCCAAAGCGTCTTTCGGACCGTTCTTGAGGTCAACAGGATCTCCAGGTCATGTAGGGTTTGCGACCCTTCTATTTCCTGAATGATCCGGTTTGAACCCTGTTAGGCTGGTGAGGATGTGTACATGGGGAAGTCTACCGACTCTCCCCATTTCTATATGTACTATTGTTTTTTTAGGGATTTAGGTATCTGTCTTCCTTTCACTCAGTTTAAGTGATTTTTTGAACCATGTCAACACGGCTCCTTGCCAGTTGCACCCCAATAGTTGGGGTTTTTTGAGGGCTTTTCAAGTCCTGTGTACAGTTTTAGGGATAGAGGTGTCCCTTCCCGTCTTTCTTCATTTTTATCAGTTGAAGTTAGGCGTTCCGCCATATGGCATACTGTCCTTGAGTGGGAGTAGGGATGGGGGTTTGTTTACCCTCTACTCCTAGTCATATAAAAATTTCAAGCAAGAGTTTTTCCGGGTCGCTCTTGTGAACGTCGACCCCTTGGAGGATGGGGCGTTTTATTTCGGCGGGCTGCCGAAATTTCCCTTCTACTGGTGCCCCCGACCGTCTAGGTTTCATGGGGTGGGCCAGGTGAAACTGACGGCCTCGGAGGTGGCCGCCATCGACAACCTCGCTGCACTTCCACGCCCGCTGGATTGCAAGCTCGTTCTGTCTCGGCATACAGGGAGAGGGGCTTGGAGAGTGAGTATTTTGTTTTTTGGTGGCTTGGGGTTTGTGTAGCTTTCTTTTGTTGATGTGCTTTGCTTCTTATCTGTAGGTATCATGGGGAAGAATTTGTGGCATGAGCTCAAGCATCGCTACAACGTCACCGAGCTCGAGGTCCCCGAGCCTCAAGAGGAGGATGTTCCCTCCCTGAAGGTCAGCCGAAAGAGGAAGAGGGGAGCGAAGGAGGTCTGGGGGACCTCTGCCCTTCCGGACGCCGAGGAGGTGACCTCCAAGGCTGTTGATGCTGGTGCGGTGGACCTTATCGAGAGTCCACTGCCCAAGGGGGCTCCTCAGGTGGCTTTTGAGGAGGTGGTTCAGGTTGCCAAGGTGGCGATTCCGGCCACCGAGCAGGTTGCTCACGCTGCCGAGGTGGTGAGTACCTTGTTGCTTTTGCTTTTTTAATGTCATCTATTGTGTTTTTCTGTGTTCTGACCTAGGTCCGTCTTCTGCAGGCGGGAGATGCCGCCGAGCTAGCGACACAGGCTGCTGGGCGAGTCGCCCAAGCTGCCGAGGTGGCGGTTCCTCCCATCGAGCAGGTTGCTGAGGTAAGTAGTGTTCCCTGATTTTCGTGGTTTCCAGTACGTCAGCTTATTTATTTTTGACATGGGGCTGGTTTTTGCAGGCGAGGTCGGAGGTTCCTATTGCAGACCTTCCAGATGCCGAGCAGGGGACGCCGACTTCTGCCTCTGTTAAGGCTCGTGGAGGGGGTTCGAGTCGTGAGGTTCCCCCGTCCACCGCTACAGTTGCGGCACCGCCGTCTGGCTCGTCACAAGGGGCTTCCCGGAGTCGATACCTAGCACATTGCTTCGGGAAGGGTCTTGCGAAGGTGCGACTGGACCAGGGGTTGATAGACGAGGTCAGCCCCGTGGATAGTTTCGACGCTGCCCAGGTCCTTCTGCAGAGGGCTATGGGCATCCTGGGCCACTGGAAGCCTAGGTGGGCCAAGCAGCAGGAGAACCTGACCAAGTAGGAAGAGGACCTGGTCAAGCTGAGGGGCTGAGTTCAACCCTGGAAGGATGCGAATAAGATCTTGAGGGAGGAGAACAAGGCTCTTAGTGTTGCCCTTGGTGAGGCGAAGCGGCAGGAGGCCGAGCTTCGATCTACGCGGGGTGACCTTACAAGGGTGCAGAAGTCTCTTGAGATCGCCTTGCAATCCAACGAGGCTTATGCTTCCCAGGTGGGGGAGCTGCAGGAGCTCGTCGCCTTCTCTCGGGGTCGCGCCCGCTCTTTGGAGGATGAGGTGACGTCCTCTCGTGGCCAGGCGCGGGATCTGGAGGATGTTGTTACCTCTCTTAAAGGAGATTTGGCGGCGTCGGCTGAGGAGCACCTTGATAGCGAGGTCATTCTAGGTGGCCGGGAGGATGAGATTTCCACCTTGAGGGCGGAGCTTGCGGAGCTGGCGGCGGGGAAGGCGGCCGTGGAAGGGAGGCTTGCGGAGGTTGAACGCTCCAGTGTGATGGAGCACAACAGGGGCTTCCAAAAGGCTGCTCGTCAGGCACCGCTCCTTGCTCCCGGGTTTGACTTTTCCTCCCTGCATGTGGAGAAGGTTGTTCGCTTTGGGAGGCTGGTTAAGGAGGACGATGTCGATGACAGTTCTAGTGAGAATGCCTCAGCCTAGGCTAGTTAATGTTTTTATGTTTTATTTTTTCTTTTGTTTTGTTGGATTCATGTATCGAACTTCGTAAACATGGCTTTGTATATATATGTTCTTACCGGAAATCTGTTGTAGAGCTGATCCGCCAGGTAAGATCGGTGAGCCTCCTTTACTGGTACGCTGGTGCTCCAAGATGGGGGTGGTACCTGCAAAAGAGACTCTAATGCTAAAATTAGTGTTTGTGTGAGTATTAGTCTCGTATATGTAATGCACGTACCTTGGTGTGATTTAGGGTTGCTTTGGGCCTTGGGCCTGAGATTAGATGTAATATGATTAGATAACGGATCTCGTCTGGGGCGAGATCCTCGGGAATCAGTTATGATTCACTTAAATGTCGAGCTGATGTCACGCGGTGCGCTTCCGAGGTCGGCTTGCGTTGTGGTGCCGAGCTCGGAGCTCGGTTACGCAGTACGGATAGTACAATATATATTTTTGTTGTTTGCCTACGTTTGCTTTTGATTTTTGCTGTTTGCGCATTTTGAGGCACACGTTTGATGTCTGTTGTAGGCTTTTGTATGCTTTGATGCCTTTGTCTTGTGTTGGCCAAGTCAAGGTTCGAACTCGCCCTTGGTTTTTCGTTAAGTGAGTGTTTCCGTGAAGGTTCGAATTCGACCTTAATTTATTAGCGCCGAGGTTCGGACTCGACCTCAAATTGACGTATTAGGGTTCGCATTCGACCTCGAATTTGTGCAAAGCGTGTTGGGGTTCGTATTCGTCCTTAATCTGGAGTAAAACGAGTTTTGTCGAGGTTTGGCGTAAAACAAATTTTGCCGAGGTTCGTACTCGACCTCGTTTTGGCGTAAAACAAATTTTGCTGAGGTTCGTACTCGACCTCGTTTTGGCGCAAAACGAACTTTGCCTAGGTTCGTACTCGACCTCGTTTTGGCGCAAAACAAATTTTGTCGAGGTTCGTACTCGACCTCGTTTTGGCGTAAAACGAATTTTGCCGAGGTTCGTACTCGACCTCGTTTTGGCGGAAAACAAATTTTGCCGAGGTTCGTACTCGACCTCGTTTTGGCGTAAAACGAATTTTGCCGAGGTTCGTACTCGACCTCGTTTTGGCGGAAAACAAATTTTGCCGAGGTTCGTACTCGACCTCGTTTTGGCGTAAAACGAATTTTGCCGAGGTTCGTACTCGACCTCGTTTTGGAGTTAAACGAATTTTGCCGAGGTTCGTATTCGACCGCGTTTTGGTTTAGAGTATTATGTGTTTCATGAGGTTCGAACTCGACCTCGGATAAGAGTGTTAAGGTTCGTACTCGACCTTATGATTTTGCCGAGGTTTGGACTCGACCTCGGTTTGGAGTGTTGAGGTTCGTATTCGACCTCATAATTGTAACGAGGTTCGGACTCGACCTCGGCTTGGAGTATTAAGGTTCGTACTCGACCTTAGTAAGGGTGAAAGAGATCAGTTCGATTTTATTTTTTATAAAAACAATAAATAAGAAAATGAATTCAGCCAAATGTGTAATTTTATTGATCGTTTTTTTGTGCCTCGTTAAAAACCCTCTCGGTCAAAGACTGAAGCGGGAAAAGAGTGCACAATTTTGTTCATACAGAAAGGAGAAATAGAACCTAATGAGCTATGGTGGGGGGACCCCCCTTGCTCCGGATGAGGAGATCTTCAGACTTTCGGCGTAACACTGCCGAGCTGTCTTCTGATTTGCCTTGACGGAGATGATCTTGCCGTCATTCCCTGGGAACTTCATGGTGAGGTGTGGGGTGGACACCACCGCTCTGAGCTGATTCAAGGTTGGCCTCCCGATGATGATGTTATAGGAGGTGTTGGCCTCCACGAGAAGGTATCGAACCATGATTCTCCTTGTATTCGGGGGTACCCCGAAGGTTGTCAGTAGGTCTATGTACCCGCGAGTGTGAACTCGCTCTCCTGCGAAGCTGACTAAGGGCTCCGTGTGCGGCTGGATGAGAGAATGGGGGACGTCTAGCCTAAGGAACGTTGGTCAGTACAGGACGTCGGCCGAACTTCCTTGGTCAATGAGTGTCTTCTGTACCTCCCAGTTGGCGACCTCCACCATGATAACCATGGGATCATCTTGGTTAGGGCTAACACCCGCGTAGTCCTCGTCAGAGAAGGAGATCGGCGGTGAGCTTTGGTGCGAGGCCGAGGTGGTAGAGTGGATGCAGTTGACGTTTCGCAGGTGCCTTTTTCGGGCCGAGCTGTTGGCGCCTTCCCCAGCGAAACCACCTGCAATTGTGTTAATCACTCCCCGTAAGGGGGCTGTCCCTGTCTCCTGGCTTACCTCGGCCTGCACTACGCTGCCGGCATTTTGTTGGGAGCCAGAGGGTTGGTCCGTGCGAGTTCCCGAGCCTCGCCCTCTGCCACGCCCCCGACCACCATAGCCTCCTCGGTGACCCTACTGTCGCTGGATGTACTAGCCGAGGTGGCCTGCCTGGATGAGCTCTTCGATGCGGTCCCGGAGCGTGCGACACTCCTCCGTGGTGTGACTGTGGTTCCTGTGGTACCGACAGTGCTTGGACTTGTCGGCGCTGTTGGGAGTGTGACCTGGTGGTGGAAGGGCGAGTAAGTTGTTGTTACTGGCTTCTTCCAGGATGTGGACTCTAGCTGTGTTCAGGGGAGTGTAGAAGTCGTATCTTCCCCCTCTGTTTGCCTTAGCCGACCTCTTGAACTGGCTGTCATTGTTGACTTTGACCTTGTCGTTGTACCCCTGCTCTAGCTTTGCTGGTCCTTTTCCGCGAACCTGGTCACGGAAGGCGGAGTGCTCCTCCATCTGGATGTAACCTACAGCGCGGGCGCGGAACTCGTCCATGTCGCGGGGGGATTCACGACACAGGCTGTCGACAAATGGCCCGGGTTTGAGTGCCATGAGCATGGCATGTAGGGCGACCTCGGGATTCAGGTTTCTGATCTTGATCGAGGTGGCAGCGAACCGTTCCATGAATGCCCGAAGTGGTTCGTCGTCGTTTTTCCTGAGACTGGCCAAGGCGGCTGAAGTGACGTGATGAGGTCGGCTCGTCGCGTATTGCACGGTGAATCTCCTGACTAGGGTGCCGAAGCTGTCGATGGACTCGGGGGGCATTTGGGTGTACCAGTTGAGCGCGACCCCCTTGAGTGAGGTCGGAAACACCCTACACAAAATAGCATCATTGTTGGTGTAGAGATTTACCTGTGTTGTGTACAGGTCGATGTGCTCATCTGGGTCTGTCGTGCCATCGTAGCGGTCAAGGTGGAGAGGCTTCCACCCGTGAGGGAGCGGTGTCTCCCTAATGCCATCCACAAAAGGGTGGTGGCGGAAGGTTGCCTGGTCCCCCGCGGCATGAGTAGGGGCCTTGCTGATTTCATGGGTTGACTTGTGCGTCGGTGCGTGAGACCGATGCGTTACAGGTCGTTGAGTTGGCGTCTTGGTTGCCGTCCGGGGTTGAGAGACTTAGTGCTCTTCTTCCTCCGTATGAGGAGGATGATCGGGGTGGTGTCGAGGGAGTTGAGCACGGATTTGCTCGTTCTCGGCGCGTAGCGCCGCTAGGTCGGCTTCGTTAGTGGCACGCATTGCCGCTAGGTCAGTGTCGTGCTTGGCACGCATGTTTTGTAGGTCGGCGGCGCATATGATACATAGGTAGAAATGGTAACTGAAGTGAAAATAAAGTATAAAAATTCCTAGTTTAGACTAGGAAGTGAAAATAAAATATAAAATTAGTAGTGTTCTTACCGGAAATCTACTGTAGGGCTGATCTGCCAGGTAAGATTGGTGAGCCTCCTTTACTGGTACGCTGGTGCTCCAAGATGGGGGTGGTACCTGCAAAAGAGACTCCGATGCTAAAATTAGTGTTTGTGTGAGTATTAGTCTCGTATATGTAATGCACGTACCTTGGTGTGATTTAGGGTTGCTTTGGGCCTTGGGCCTGAGATGAGATGTAATATGATTAGATAACGGATCTCGTCTGGGGCCAGATCCTCGGGAATCAGTTATGATTCACTTAAATGCCGAGCTGATGTCACGCGGTGCGCGTCCGAGGTCGGCTTACGTTGTGGTGCCAAGCTCGGAGCTCGGTTACGCAGTACGGATAGTACAAGTAGTTTGGTCGGAAAGAAATTGGTGAGAACCTAAGAAATAGGTGAGAAAGTAAGAAGGAAAGGGTGGAAGTGGGAGATTGAAAATATTATAAGTATGTAGTTTGATTAGTAAAAAATGTGGGATGAGAAATAAAAAGATGGCGAGTTTTATATTTTTTTTATTTCACACAAAGCAGTGCATAAATGTCTCGGAGAATAGTTACTGTGTTGTATTTTGCAGAGTTTATCTTGAGGTTCTAAACAGCAGTGCTGCCCGTGCATTACTTTTATGTTTTTAAAATGTTCTTGGCGGTTTTGAGTTGCCTAATTATTTATTATATTTCATTTTAGTAAATATTGGTGATATAAAAGAAAAAGATAAGACTTATTAATGAATATAAAATAATATGTAAAAAGAAATTAAATCAAATTATGATCTGATAAAATATTTCTATCATCAATTTTATAACACTTGGTTGTACCAATAAAACTTAATTTTGTATTTATGTTGGGTGATTTGGAACTTCGTATTATTTATAGTTACCGATATGTTCTTCATAAAAAAAAAAAGAAGATCCTTATAGTATATTTGCTAACTACGATATTAATAACTTTTTGACAAATTTATAGATCTTTTAATACTATTAATTATAAAAAAGAATCTGTTAAATTTTTTATTTTATTTTTTTACAACAGATCTATGCTAAGTTCTTAAAAATAAGAAAGGAAAAATGAACTTTTTTTTATATATATTTTTTTTATCAAGTAGTAACATCTCTAAGTTATTAAATAATAATTTGCTTAGATTTTTATGATGTAATAACATCTCTAAGATATTGAATAATTTGCTTAAATTTTTGTATTCTGATATAATGATCAAAACTTAATAACAATATGTTTTTCTGAGAATAATATTACAAATTGAAGATATAGATGAGATTATATGAATAACTTAGGTTGATATGAATGGTGAGAGATTCTCGTCACTCAATTTTTTTTGAGAATAATATTACAAATTGAAGATATAGATGAGATTATATGAATAACTTTGGTTGATGCGCGTAGCGAGGGATTCCCATCACTTAACTAAGTGGTTAGGTTCGAAAAAACTCATATAAATGTCAAAATAAAACATTTATGATTATTTTTAATTAATTTGAATTAATGTAATGAAATATTAAATAATTTTTAAATTTTTTAAAAATTTGTAAATTTAGTATATATATATGTATTAATTTTTAATTCAATGGTTGAATTGTAATTGACTAAAATAAGTCATTCAAGACTTATTATTGGAATATGTAAATATTTAATAATTCATGATTTAATTTAAATTTTAACGATCTAATCGTTAAATTTAAAATTCATAACATATAGATCAAGTCTTCAAATTTTAAAATAAATTTAAAAATTATTTGATATTTTATTTTATTAATTTAAATTAAAAAATATATAAATATATGACAACAACTTTACAGCAATAGGC